AACGCCCCTCCACGCCCTACCCCACTACTCTCCCTCCTCCCCATCCCCCCCGCCCTAGCACCCACCTTCTCCCCAGCCCCTTACCGCCCCTGCAGCCCGGCCCCGGCCTGTACTCACGCCCCGCTCCGCCAGCCCATGACTTTGTTGCGGTAGCAGGCGATCTCGAAGCGCTTCCCGGCGCGCCGGGTGCGCACCACGGCCACGTTGGTGAGGCGGATCTGGTTGGTGGGGGTAAAGATGGACATGGCGGCGGTGCAAGGAGCCCGGGGCCCGTCAGGCGGCTGAGAGGTCTGTCAACAAGCAGCGCTGCGCCACTGTTATTAGCCACCGCCTCCTCCTGTGACGTCAGCGCAACTCCGGAAACAGGCGGCTCGGGGGGCCGCCGAAAGGCGTCCGGGCGGGGAAACGAAGCCCGGGAATCCAGGGTTCCGGGGCAGCGGCCACAGAGGGAGAAGAGCGCGCGCGGGGTGGGTGTGCGCGCGCGCGCTACTTCTCCTCGCGCGTGGGGTCAGTTCCCCCTCGCAGGGGCCCAGTCTTCCCGGGGGGAGAGCGCCAGGCCGCGGCACCCGGGCTCTTGGCTCTCCCAGCGCTGTGGCACCCTGCGTGGGGGGCTGACCTGGGCCCCCCGGGAGAGGGGCGGTTTGAAAGCAGGGCCCTGAGCCGATGTGAGTGGGGGGCAAATCCCCCCCCTGCCCCGTGCCCGGTTCCCCTGGCTTGTGGGCACCGGGGGGCCGCCCAGAGAGAAACACGCCTGTGCCTGCCCTCAGCCACATACCAGACCCCAACGGGCCACACCTCCATGAGTATTCATGCATATGAGTGCGCGATGGGGTATTAGTGCATCGCAATAGGGCTATGCACGGAGCACCGTCACCGGACAGGGTGCTGTGGAGGGGCCCGAGACAGCCCCCGCCGGGGGAGCTCACACACCCCGCGCAGTTTTACTGTCAAACCCACGCGCCCATCACCGTGTCTTCCGGGCCGTGTGTCTCCCTTCTCTGGGGCATGGATGCAAATGGCTTCTGCGTGGGGTTCATCAATAAGAGTGACATGCTGCAGAGGGTCGGCTGGCGTGGGTGACTGTACTCCTGGGATTGTGGGTGAGAAGGGGCTGAGAGTGGCTTGACTCTGTGTGGTTTTGTAGCGTGTGTTTCCCTGGCGGGCTGAGTTTCTGCTCCGTGCTTCAGTGTGTTTCTGTGACTGTGTTCATGGTATTCTGTTTCTATGCGATTGCGTGTGGGGTGTATCTGTAGGATCGGGCGCTCCCGCCTCCCGTGATTGTCTTTGCTGTATTAGGTTAGTATCCCATTTCTTTAGCCCGGTGAAGTTGCACTGCCTATCTGATGTTTTTGCGTCTGAGAGATTGTTTTTCTATGATTGTAAATGTTTAGAGTGTTTGTGATCGCGTGTGTTTTTGTTTTCTAGGCACGAGGAAGAAAACACTGCCACACCAGCCCTGAGCTCTGTATAGCTTCCTTTTCATCAGTAGCAATCTATAAAGTGAAGTGGGGAGGAAGGGGAAAAAACAAACGCCCAGACTCCCAGCATTCCTCTGCAAACAGCATGGCTGCCCCCAGGAGCTCGTGGGGATTTCTCTGTCCTAGTTAATTTTGTTACCTAAAACGTAGAAGGGTAGCTGCAAATTGCCACATCACGCTCTGGAATGCTGAATTTTTGGCTGGTGTTTCAGGTTCTAACTATCCTGGCTGCTTGTGCTGACGCTCATGCCATGGGTAAGTACTATTGTGTAGAGATACCTGATGATTTTTAGGGGATCGTTGTAGTTAGTGCCTTGACAGAGGATATAGCTCTTATTAAACTGAAACGACACTGATTTAACCGCAAAAAGAACAGGAGTACTTGTGGCACCTTAGAGACTAACATAATATGTTATGCATCCAAAGAAGTGGGCAGTAGCCCACGAAAGCTTATGCT